CTCCTTTGTCTATATACAAAGGGACTACTGTTTGCTTTTGAACTTATGTTCTTTCTCTATGTTGTTTTGTTTTCTTCATTTTTTAAGAGGATGTATGATCCTCTTATTATTATTATTATTATCATTTTAAAAAGAACTAAAGAAGAAAAACAAAAGATAAAGTTTTTTTTTTGACATTGACAACTAGGTTCTGTCAGATGTCAAACTACTCATTCATTCTTTTTTTGCTCTTAATGATGCTTCCTTCCTTCATTTTGTTCATTATTGTTGTAGCTAATTAATGAAATGCAATCAGGTGAGGTATCCAGATCGGATAACACTCATTAGGGGAAACCATGAAAGCCGTCAGATCACTCAGGTTTGTCTATCATCTAAAGTGGATGAAAGAAATAAATAAATCCATTTAATGATGAAAAGTGGAAAAAGACACTGAAAATTTCTCTAACATTTTATGACTCCAGAATACTTATTCAGTATCCATCACTTGACAGGTATATGGATTCTATGATGAGTGCCTCCGAAAATATGGTTCAGTCAATGTCTGGAGATATTGTACCGATATATTTGATTACTTAAGGTTTGCTAATATCCGATAGATCACCAGTTTTATTCATAAGCTTCTGTGGGTGACATAATGCAGATTGAAATATCCATATAAGCATTACTTGATTCAAGTCTTGCACTGGGAGATTTAATGCTTGATTTGCTATAAAAAACCTGAAATAGTTTTCTCACTGCAAAATTGCAAATTGTGTTTTTCCATGCCTTGCCATTGCAAATTCCTCTCGTTACTTGTACATTTTGTTTGGTATATGAAGAAGGCAAAGAAAGTAAGAAGAGAAAATGAGATGATTTTTCCATGCCTTGCCATTGCAAATTCCTCTCTTGTTACTTGTATATTTTGTTTGGTATATGAAAGAAAGCAAAGAAAGTGAGAAGATAAAATGAGATGGTAAGAGAGAAAAGAGAAAGAAAGAAAGAAAGAAGTAAAAGACATGAATAATGACCCTAATAAAAATGTTATATAGTAATTTAGTTTGTTTGTGATGTAATTATAAAGGATGTTATAGTAATTTTGTTTTGTTTTGTTTTTTTACATTCTTTTTTGTTGCTTTCTCCCCTAATTGGAGAGAACCAATTTTAGTGTGGGGCCTACAAGTTTTTTCTTTCCTCTTTTATTTTTGTATGTACCAGAGAAAGAAAAGATTTTTGAAACATGTGAATTCCTTCCTTCCCTCATTCCAAACAATGCTATAGTGTCTGTTTGCTTTGGGTAAAGGGACTGCCTGTTTTATTTTTCTTTGAAATGATTTTTCTGGAAAGAAATTTTTTTGTTTGGTGATCTTTATGCAAAATTGAAGTTATTTGTTTGGGCAACTACTTCTGGACCATTTTTCTTTATTATTCTTTCAACTGTTCAATTTATGCTTGATATGACTTGCAAAATGTAAACATTTGCCTTTATATTTTAAGAGGGAAAGGGGTTTGGGTGGACTTGAGCTGGGTTAAAATAAGAAGGATGCTTTATGTGGCTTGTCTCTGTGTATGTTAAAAAGGAAAAAAGTTTGTGTTCGACCCTTGTAGCCATGCTTCTCTTCATTCTCTCTGTTCTAGCTATCAGTCCTGTACACTTTCTGTTTTTCTCCACCCCTTTTTGAAATCATTATAAAACATGAAAAAAGGTGCATTATTAATTATACAATAACTACGAAACAAATATCTGAATTCCAACCTTAATCTTGTAGTATTATTATGTGTATTAAGTAATTACATTATCATATTTTTATGTTAAATATATCTATATTCTTGGTAGGATCTTTTGATCCGTGTACGATCACATGTTTTATGATCTCTCATCCCCCTCTATATCCTAGATAGAATAACCTTTAGACTTTAGAGTGTAGAAAAAAGTGTCAAATTGCAGGCGACTTTCATGGATAGAAATAACCAAAAAATAAAATAAAAAATAGAGGTATAAATAGAAACAATCTCCTGTCAAGTTGCTTGTAAGGCAACATAACCGCATTTACAGATTTAATTGTCGTGGCTTGCATCTTCTCTTCACTTATAGTTTCCTTCATTGATAATGACAAACTGCAGCTTGTCCGCTCTAATTGAAAACAAGATTTTCAGTGTTCATGGCGGTCTTTCTCCTGCCATTACAACACTGGATCAGGTTAGAAATTTTACCATAATTTGTTTGTCTTTGTTTAGATTGTATACTAGCAATATTTTATATGTTAATTATCATTCATATCTAGATACGAACTATTGATCGGAAGCAAGAAGTTCCTCATGACGGTGCCATGTGTGACCTCCTATGGTCAGATCCTGAAGATATTGTGGATGGATGGGGCCTTAGTCCTCGTGGTGCTGGTTTCTTATTTGGTGGCAGTGTTGTAACTTCCTTTAACCACGCCAATAACATTGACTATATATGTCGTGCTCATCAGTTGGTAATGGAAGGATATAAATGGATGTTCAATAACCAGATAGTTACTGTCTGGTCAGCTCCAAATTATTGCTACAGGTACCCAATCAATTAAAATGTTCTTTCTTATTTGTGTTCTGCTGTTTTTAGTAAGATGTTTTTCATCTTTGCCATAGATGTGGTAATGTAGCTGCAATTCTGGAGTTGGATGGAAATCTTAATAAGCAATTCCGGGTGTTTGAAGCTGCCCCACAGGTTTGTAGGCAAAATCACCTTATATATATTGCCATTATGAATTACCTACAGAGTGAGCTATACTGATTTCCTAAAATAGTAGCAATATGAGTTTAAATCCCTCCGTCATTTGTTGATTCATGTGTGCGCTTTTCATATGTGACCCTGGGTTCAAATGTTCAATGCTATGAGTGTTTTTATTCTACATCATTTGCATATCAGTTTGTTTTTATTTGGATTGCACTATCTTAGCATGTTGAAGCAAACAATTGGTTTTCCATATTCTTTGCTAACATATAAAGATACCTTAGGATCTTTTCTCCTTGTGGAAATTTAATCGTGTTAATTGTTAAATTGTCAAAATTTATAATTTTAATGGAATGTAGGAATCAAGAGGGACACCTGCCAAGAAACCAGCACCAGATTACTTCCTTTGAAGTGGATTTCTTTGTTTGTATGATCTAAATGCTCAATTCGATGATTGGGGAGTCTTGAATCAAGGAGATGATGATGTCTGACACGGGAGGAATGAGTGAAGGACAAATTAGTTCTGGAGGCAGGAATTCTGCATTCCATCCATCTGCTTCGCCCATTTTATAGTGTTATGGCAGTATTGTGAATTAGTATGTGATTTGCAATATATTGTTGTTACCTTTGTTCGTTCAAAAGCTGTGATGGACAGAGGGAAAATGACGTTTGCATATATGAAAACTTGATTAGGAAGGATTGGACCAGGGAATATTGGGAGATAACTTTCCATATATATCTGTGGTAAAGACCCACTAGCTGAGTTTTGATTATCAAGTTTGGGCCATAAATTTTCACGATCTTTGTGTGTATATGTATTATTCCTCAAATTTCACACCTGGTTGATAGTTGGTACTGAAATCCTACCTTACCTGATTTGGAACTTTGAAGCTTCAATTGTCAAAGATAAGGGTCCTTTTTCAACTGAAAAAACATTTTTATATTGACAAAATTTTTGAAAATCACTTGGCATGCTCACTGGAGAATATAACGGTTGGAAAGGAAATTTGGCAAATCAAATGATGTGAAATATTACTTTTTTCCCCCTTTTGTTAACCGATGAGGTAAAAAGTAATTTAAGTTGAAAAACAATTTCAATTTCAATCAAAATCCGAAATTAAAGCATGTTTTCTTTTTGAGTCTAAGGTACAAGTATATTGGAGCACTTGCAAAATAAAATTTGGAACAATCAGAACATTTTAATTGAATGCCTTAGATTCGATCTTCCTTGTTTGAGGCATCTGTGGGAAGCAATACTTCATTGAGGTTTCTTATTTCCGAAGTGTTGGATGCTTAGAAGCGAAAACTTATGACGATGAAAGCCAACTTGATTTATGCCAGTTAAATCATGCAAGGAAAGTTTAACTTTTTCATTAGATTACGTTGGGAATTTGAAATGCAAAAGTATGTCAAATTCAGTTATATTACAATAAACCATGCCCCTCTATATTATATGGGGCGCTCTCGCTGATGTTGATAAGGATCAGGTGCATCCAAGCACGTGTATTTTCAAGTACTATCACCTTTTTACAAGTGTTGTATCATGAACCAAAAATTAAAAGATAAAAAAAATTAAAATGAATGTTAATTTTTTTATCCTTTTATCATATTTGTTATGGAATGTAACTTATTGTAGAAAAACCGACCGAGTTTCTAAATATAGTGTAAAACTGATTTTTTCTTTTTAGACTTTTTTGTTTTTATATAAACACTAAAGTGATATTATAAAGATTTATGATTTATAGACATGAATCTCTTATTTCTTCTTGTATTATATTCTCATTAATAAATTTATAAATCTTAATATTTATGATTATTATTATATTTGTAAATTATAGCACCTTGTCCTAGTTAGAGATCTTTCGTAATTCACTTTATCAAGAGATTGATATGGTATAATACTAAATGATCTAACAAACATTATGTGATGATAATTTAATGCGAGTAAGTTAGATTTTCCTTTTCTATCAATAATTTTATGAACAATACAAGTAAAAAAAAGTTTTTCTTGAAATACTAATTTTTAAATATTAAATTTAATATTGATAAAAAATAATAAATTTAATACAAAAAATAAACATTCAATTTTTTTTTTAGAAACTGAAAACTTCTGTTTTGACAAACGTCCCCGCGAGGATAAAGGTTCTGGTTAGATTGACTGGTGAAGAGTGAGAGTATTCTGAAATAATGCATTTTCCAATTCATAAATAAATCAGAATACATTGAAACCTAAACTTATAGGTCGCGTGTGCCTCGAGCTCACATGTTATTAACTTATTATATTAATCAATGATCACTACTATGCCAATTTTATATTAATGTATGAACAAAATTGCAGAGCCAACCACTTCTAGCTACGTCTCCATTCAGAGTTGCTGTTCCTGTTCCTTGTTTTCACAAACTCATAATTCATTATTCCACACATACAAATACAATAGTAAGAATCCTTATAACTGTTTCCCCTCGTTTTTCATCTCATGGGTGTGTTCAAGTTTTCATCTTTCACCGGATAAGCATGAAAAAAATAACCATGCTTAAGTCAAAACTTATGTATTCTTCAAGATTCATTACTTTGGACTGCAAAATGACATTCACTTGATCCCTCACAAGGCTTCACCAGCAAAATTGAATGGCAACCTCAATTTGCTTTGTTCTTCTATCCCTTCTGTTCCTTTCAACATCCACAAGGGGTGATCTCCAACACCATGAAGAGGGTTTCATCTCTCTGGTCATATCTGATAAGGGCCTTGATTTTGCCAAGGATTTTCTGATACAAAAAGCTGTTGCCTCTATTGTTGTGTCTCAACTGCCAGAGATTGAGAAAACTGTGCAAGTCCCTCTTGTTGGGAAAGCCAAAGTGGTTCTTTCTGACATCACAATCAATGATATCAAAGTTAATTCTTCGGTGGTTAAAACAGGAGAGGCAGGCATTGTTCTTGTTGTTTCTGGTGCCACTGCCGACTTAAGTTTGAAGTGGAGGTACTCTGTTAGCAGTTGGTTAGTCCCTATTGGAATTTCGGACAGTGGAACTGCCACTGTGAAGGTTTGAATCTAGAATATCATTCACTTTTATTGTATACTTTGTACTATACCTTATATCTATCTGAGTAAATTCTCTACGCACTAACACTGTCATGGAATCATAAATTGTCTAGTAGGATAAGTTTGTTGATTTTCTAATAATTATACTAAAAATCATATTATCATCATGATTTCTGCTTGATTGACATTGTAAACTCAATAATTTGCTTAAGTTGTGCCGTTTTGTTTTGATGCTTATAATTTACTTTGTTGCATTGTGCTTTAATTAGGAAGGTTTGACCTTGAACTAAATAACAAATCTTTTCCTGAGGGAGGTTATGGTTGAAATTTCATTTTTCCCATTTCCACAATTGCACTATTGGAGTGAGATCAACTTGTTAAAGCTTATCCAATTCAGTATAATTGAAACTGGAGAATGGGTATATTAAAAATGAGAGAAAAAGATGGGGTCTTGAGATGAACAAAGACATGTGATTCAGTAATTGTCAAATCCCTGTGAGAATAATATACTTTTGAGTAAATTATACCAACATTCCTTGAGATGCCGTGGCATTACATACAACTCTCCAACTTTTTCTACTCTAGACTAACTCCCCTTAATTGTTTTGGAAAATGTTACACCAACACCCCCTTAAATATTACACTAACTCTCCTTAATTGTTTGAAAAACATTACACCATATACCCCTAAAAGAGTGATTGTTGTAAACATCAAAAAAGGCAGGAGAGTTTTGTGCAATCTTACGAAATTTCAGGGAGTATTAGTATAATTTACATTACACTTTTTGTTTAAATATTTTTCATTTGGTATCTGTTTAGTCAAATGATGTCTCATTCTTTTGTGTTGTGCTATGTTGGAAGGTTAATGATTTGCAAGTGGGACTTACTGTAAATTTAAGGAACCAAAAAGGAACTCTTAAGTTGATTCTCCTGGATTATGGATGTCAAGTTGGAGATTTATCTATAAAGTTGCACGGTGGAGCAGCTTGGCTTTATCAAGTGTAAGGAAACTTCTTAAGCCATTGCCTTTGATAGTTAGGAACTCTTGCACATGCTCTATCAGAGAATTATGTTCTTTTATTGCTCTGATTAAGGTTCACAATTCCATGGTGAAGTTTTTTGGCAAACAACTATTAGAGCTATGTTTCAATTTTACTCTCTAATACTTTAATCTTTAGTGTGGGACATGAAACTAGGAGGGAAGATAAGAGTGTTTCCATTATCTTCTGCAGCAAAACTTTCCTGGGGAATGTAAACCTCTATTTCTGATATCCATGTGAATTGGCTTATCTTTTAAAGGAACAAAATTTGATTCACATTAATATTTGAAAATATTATGCCATAATTTCTATTTTATTGCAGGCTAGTAGATGCTTTTGCAGGAAATATAGCGTCTGCAGTTGAAGAGGCAATCTCTAAGAAAATAAATGAGGGGATATCAACTCTTGACTATTTATTGCAATCTCTTCCAAAGACAATCGCATTAGACAAAACTGCTGCTCTAAATATTTCTTTTGTGGACAATCCCGTGCTGAGTGATTCTGCTATTGAATTAGAAATCAATGGTTTATTCACAGGGAGAAATGATGTTTTGGTACCTCAAGGTTACCACAGAGGATCAGACATTTCTGTTTCTGGTGGCGACCATTCACCAAAGATGATAACGATTTCATTACATGAAAATGTTTTCAAATCTGGTTCCTTGGTTTACTTCACTGTAAGTTTCTGAAGTTTTAACTTCTTTATTTTATTTTTGTTGCTCAAGTCCAATAAATGGAGTTTTCCTTACCCCTTCGTTTAAGCTATATCCATGATGTATTGTAGCATCTTATTACTTGTTTCATGTCTTCCACCCTAATATTTCTTGTGAATCATGATACATTTGCTTGTTTCTTTAGGCTTTGGCATTATCTAGACTCTGCAGAAGAAACAAATTCTTTGTTGTTCCACAGTTTGCATTCATGCTTGTATGATGCATCATTTATTCATACACATTAATATAGTGAGTTTTTTAATAATGAAGGTTGGTCATACAGAACCTTTGGTCGGGTGCTTTGAGTTGTGGTGGAATTGCTATGAATTTGGGATAAATGGATTACTTTGCTGACATCAAATATGTAAGGTTTGACAATAATTGCTAAGCTGCATCACAATATCAGTAGGATAGAATCCTTTTTGAGAAGAAAAGTAGTGCCATGCTAATTAGGTTTTATGTATTGATTGGGTGACTCCAATTAACTGTTTGTACTTCAAGTTTTGTTGGATACTTTAATGTTATTATAGGCTGAAATATAGTTTTGATGGTTTATGTTGTTCTTGTGCTCAGGCGGATAGTATGAAATGGATTGTTGATGAACTACCTGATCAAGATCTTTTGAACACTGCTGAATGGAGATTCCTTATTCCTCAATTATACAAGCAATATCCAAATGATGACATGAATCTTAATATTTCCATATCTTCTCCACCGGATATACAAGTGACAAAAAAAGATGTTGGTGTCAACATTATAATAGATATAATAATTGATGTTCTAGAAGCTGGTGAAGTCATACCTGTTGCATGCATCTCCGTGGTATGCTTAAATGAAGTCAATACTTAAGTGGATAGTTTAAAGTTTTATGAAGCTCTTACACTATTTAAGAAGCCATCCCTCGTAATATACTTCTTCTAAGCTATTTGAAATTCAAGCTTTTTGTTCATCATATTGTTACACACGCACATACACAGTGCCTAGTACTGATCTTGAGACTAAATTTTCAGAATTGCCAATTTTTTTGGTGTCTATGCACACCTAAGATTCTACGTATCAGAAGTTTTTTCTTTGAGTTAAAGAGGTAACCATTGCCCATGATCATTATCTTATCTAACATTTCCATTATTAATCTTGGTTATTGGTACAGGATATTAGTGCCTCTTGTGCTGTGGAGATCGTAGGAAACAACCTTGCTGGTCGGCTTAAATTGAGAAAATTTTCCACGTACTTGAAATGGAGTAAAATAGGGAAGCTGCACTTGAATCTGATTCAGGTAAATTGGAATAAATGTATTCATCTTTTCAGCTTGCAGCTTTGTATTTTGATATGAAATTGAACAACAACAACAAAAGCCTTACCTCACTAGATCATTAGATGAGGTTGGCTACATAGATTACACGACACCATTTGGCTTGGTTAAAGGCCAAATCTTCAGAGAAATTATTTGCCATGAGATTCCTTTTGACGACTTCCTCTAATGTCCTTCTTGGTCTCTTCTCCCCTTTTTCATAGGATTAAAAAGCATGCAATCTATTTTCCTCACTAGTGCTTCTAGTGACCTTTTTTTGTATGTGTCCAAATCACCTTAACCTGCTAATTGGATGAAATTGAACAATAGGGCCAAAAAATTCCTTCTATCTAAGGCACTATTCTAGGATAGTTAATCAAGCTATGGGTGTTTTTGATTCAATTAGATTCTAGAGAGACCATAGTGATGTACAAACATGATTCATTATCATGTGAAATGAGAAAGTGACACATCTGCCAACCGTTTGTAAATTATATATGATATATTCAAGGTGTCAAGTTTATGTTTTGGTATATTGCCAAAAGATATTACAAATGACAAAACTCCAATAATTTGAGAGAAAGAAGCCAGGAGAGGGGGTAGACACGCAGTATCTTTTTTGTTGGGCATAATTCAGTAAGTGGACAACACATGTACTAACCATCAAGCACTTTTCAACCCATTAAGGCATTAATAACTTTTAGCTTTTCATATTTCACTTTACTGATTCATTCATAAATTAAATAACTTCATCTCGTGTGCACACATAAACCACATAATTTCTATATTCAACCTGTTATTATGAATCTTACTAGTTTACTGTGTAAACATTTACAGTCAGTGACATCAACTATCCTCAAAACCGTCCTCATACCATACCTGAACTCGCAGTTAATGAGGGGAATTCCGCTGCCAATTCTGAATGATTTTGCCCTTGAGAATGCTCGTATATTGTATGCTCCTCCATGGATTACCGTGTGTAGTGATGTTTCCTTCTTAGGAGACTATTATCTCAAACACCAATAGCTACCAGCTTATGTATCATAAACATGTTCTCATAGATCTGTCTGATTGGTGTACTAAGTGGGAATAAGGTAATGAGCAACTTGTCAAGATGGCTGTGATGAGTGAATGACGTGAACATGCATAGAAATTCCATTCCTCAGCTTCTTATATGCATTCCATCATCGGTGTAGCTCTGGATTTTCCCTTTTGTAGATCATGCAATGCTGTACTGAAGATTACTTGAAAAAACTGGCAACACCAACAGTCAAGTGTCCTTGTTGGATTTGGAATCCTGCACGCTCTTTATTTGAATCAGGGGTTGGCATTTTTATCTGTAAATTTGTGACAATAATATTTACTTTTGTTTGGCTACATAGATTAATATTTTTGTTTCTCATGTATTAATAAATAGGGGTGTTTGGAAGTTCCGATAAACCAATAAAATCCATTATTTGAACCAAATTAATTAAGTTGATTTGATTTTTTTTTATTGGGTCAAACTTGATCCAAATCAATTAAATCCGACCTTAATTGATTTAAATTATGAATTTATATTTTACAAATTCGATGATTTAAGAATAGAATCGATTAAAATTATTGATATTATTATTATAATTTTTAGCTTAATATTATTTTTTAATATTATGATTTTATTAGTAACATATAAGTATAATATTATTATAGCACTATTATTATAGCACATTAATACTCTAATAATATTATAATTATAGTAGTTCTTTTATGATATTATTATTTAATAATATTAATATATTTTATAAAAATATTATTTTATTAGTTACTTACAAATTACCAAGACACCCACCATATAATGTCAGACACCAATGGGGCCATTTAACTTTGTCACTTTTTGGTAGTTTCAAAGAGTCATTGGTCACTTTGTCTTAGTTCTTAGACTTAATACCAAAAGATTTTTAACATTTATTTTCATTTAATATATTATTTGCATTGACATTTTAAGTTGAGAAGAAAAATATATAAAAATTACTTAGATAATGATTATAACTTAGATAATTTAGTTATATTTGAGAGATTATTTTAGTTTTAAATGTTAAAATAATTTAATTTTAAATATTAAGCTATGTTTAAATATTTTAATTTTATATTTTTTTTATTTATACTTTGAATGTTATTTACACTTTTTTTGAACTTTTATTTTTGAGGAAATGATAAACCAAACATTTTTTTGTGTATGTGTGTGAAAACTCTTAAATAAAAAACAACCTCATTTTTAATAAATAAAATAAAAAGAGCTTAAAAAAATCTCCCATGAATATCTTCTCCATCGATTAAGATAAAATAACACAATACTAATTAATCAATTAATCCACGCTAACGATAGTTTCTTTAGTAGCTTTTTGTGAATTTTTTTTGTTACTTATAGGAGCATTAACCTTGGTATTACTTTGTTCATCAAAAAAACTTTGGTATTTCTTTGGTTTTAATAATTTTTAAAAAAATTATTATTAATATACTTAAAAATTATCCTAGAGATTAAAAATAGTGATTTTAGATTTTTAAAAAATAAAAATTTTAAAAAATATTTTACAAAGAACAAAATTAAAATTTACTCATTTTATAAAAAGTAAAAATATTTTACAAATATAATTTTTTTTTATAAATTTTAAAATGATAAAAACAGAAATCAAAATCAAAGTTCTCTCATTTCACGAGAACTTAAAAAAAAACATATTTAAACTTTTTTATTTTTAATGATATCTTGAGGATAAATACTTTGATAAAATATTCTTAAAAAATAATTTATTTGTCAACAAATTTAACAATGCTTTTTATTTGATTTTTGAAATTTTATAAATATAAAATAAAATTTTGTAACGATCCGTCGTGACTACTACATTTTTTGCTATTATCAAATAGTAATAGAACTATTAACATACTTAAGGTTATACATTTATTTCTAATAGAATAAGCAATATATGTATATAACATGCATATAAAAAGGAAATCAACTATATAAGTATAAAACAAGTGCATAATATATACATACACATACACACGTATATATACACACACACAATAATCTAGAAAACCAAACTATATGCCTTGTGGGTGTTGGTCAAACACAACTATACCACTACAAATACAGTAATCGACTATATCGCTAATCAAAACATGGCTCACTAGTAGTTCCACTAACTTTCTCTAGTTAACCCTATCCTTACTCCCATTAAAATCATAATTATCGCAATTCATACTTAATAGAAAACACACAAGGATAAACTAGATTTCAAAAACATATTATTTTAGGAATGATTATTTATATTTTTCTTCAACTTGTAAACTAACCAAAAATATGTCACATGATTTACAACATATAACAATTATCATGTTTGAAAGCTAAAACACCACAACGGTCAAATAATCGTCCCAAACATACCATACAAAAAGGTATTCACTCCATGCATATCATGTTTGAATCTCACTGTAATTTTTATAATTATAACCTAATATTTTAATTAAGGTAAAAAATCAATTTTATTTTATATATTTAATAAATTTAAATATGCTTTTAGTCTTAGTAAAAAAATAATTTCGACTTTGATTTTTGTAAAAAAATGTATTTATTTTTCCTTTTCAAAATTTGAAAATATTGCTTTTAGATCTTGATCCCGAGAAATCTTCTAAACATCCAAATTTTTTTTAAAAGCTTCTCAATTCTAAAAGTTCCTCAACTACTTTAAAAATAACACACACCAAATAATTAATACAATTTACAATTATTAATAAAATACAATAATTGAAAAAATGTATAATTTTATAATTATAACTAATATGATATCAGTAATAATTATAAATAATACCTGATATAGTAATTTAACATTTTAATAAAGAAATAAGTAGTTAAAATTAATTATATAATAACTGAAAATAAAAGCAACATTTATAAATTTTAGAGTGAAAAATAAAATAAAAATTAACGAGAACCAAAATCAAAATTTTTTATTTTATAGGCACTTAAAAAGATATTTAAACTTAAAAAATATATTTAAATCTATTTAAAATGTATATTTATTATAGTTTTAATTTTAAGCATTTAAATGAATCATTAAAAAAGAAATTCCAGTATTCTCGATTCAAATACCGATAAAAAAAATCTTATTGCTGTGATAACCGATAAAAAATAATGATTTATTGGATATAATACATAAAATAAAATACTTGTAGTTAATACTTAATAGTTAATAGTGATCTGGAAGCTGGGTGAGTGGCGTTAGTAATATTTAATATTTAATATTAATATTGTTTTGTATTCTGCGTGCGCGTCTCTCTCTCTCTCTCTCTAGGGATCTCTGGTCAGCCATCCAAAACAAACTCGTTCTCTTTCTTTCAACTCACTCGCTACTAACCCATCCCAACAATACCATTTTCCTAATTACTTTCACGCACACGCGCAACGCAACGCAAACCTTCGTCTCTCCCAAACAAAAACACTCACTTACCCGCCAAAATTTCAATTAGCGCCTCCAATTCAAACACCTCTTTCTCTCTCTCTCTCTCCCTCTCCTCTCTCTCTCTCTCTCTCTAGGGTTTCCCTCCCATGGAAGACGACGTCGTCCCCGATCCCCAATCGGAGGACTCCCTCTCCGACGAGCGCCGCGCCAAGAAGCCTAAGGTTGACGACGCTCAGCTCAAGCGAGTCGCCGAGATTGTACTCGTCCTCTCCACCATGGCCACGGTGCGCGCCGGGAGAAAACCCTCCGACGTCGAGGTCGACCTCATGAAGGAAGCTCGCGCCAAGCTCGCCGGCCTCTGCGAGGGTTTGGCTCCCAAGGACATCGTCGCCAGGGAAGCCGTCGGCACCGTCATCGAGGATCTCGGATTGCACTCCAAGCTCAAGGACCAGAGGCTAGGGTTTCGCGCTCCTAAGATGTCCATTGCCGAGAGGTATTCCCATGCTAAGTGGAAGGTAACCTACCTCTCTGCTCAATTAACACTTCACACGCCCTTGTTTCTGCTTTCGTGTTTGTAATTTGGTGGAATTGTGTGTGGAGTTTAACGGAGCATTGTGTTGTTGAACGAGCTGGTGAAGTTTATGGTTACGTGTGTCGGTTTGTCTGGAGTTATTGATGACTCCTTTTGAACCTGGTTTTGATAGGTGATTAAGTAACAGTGCGTTTGTTTTGGTTGTTGTGAATGTGTCTGAATTAGGAAGTGAGGATAACGGTGCGTTTGGATCTGATGCGCCTAACTTAGAAACAGCAATATGTTGCTTATGTGTTTTTTACTTCGTTTCTTTCAATGTTGACGATAGAATGAGTGTACACGTGCTTAATCAACGCGTTACCAAACACACTCTAAGGATGTTGTGTTCCTAGTGCTGTGAAATTCACCTGATTCTTATGCAATTGTTTTCTGTTTCTTAATAGAGGAATCGTTGGCCGGATTATTTTATTTTAATGAGCTTTAATTGCTTGGCTTGACTATGCTGGTATTGGGTACTTTTCAGTTGCTTTTATGTTGTCACTCCTATTAATCTTAAACTACTTCCTTGAACGGGCTTTTCATTGAGTTTGTTGGAATGATTTAAAATGCACCAGTAAGAACATTTGTTTATTTATAGTATGCAAAAGTAATGGTAACAATGATGGTCTGGCACTTCTTTTGATTAGGTTTTTTCCCATTATTTTCCCCTTTCTTTACTCTCATTTTGGTTCCTAGATGGAGGAAGCAAAGAAGTTTGCTGCATCTTCTACTCCTTCCACAACACATACATCTCAGCCCTTGCAAGCAAACATTGGCGGACCAGTTGACAATCGTGTGCCATCACCTGTTGTTAGAATGTTTCCGTCCGATAAATCAAGCCACCCGGCAATCTCTTCTATGGGTACTGTAGTGTCTATTCCTGCCCATGTTTCTGCAGGGTCTTCTGCAGCATTGCAATATCAATCAACTGGAAATGAAGTAAGACCGCCAGTGGTTTCTGGTATGATACCTATCAGTCACTTGGGGAGAAATCCATCTTCTGCAGTATTGCCTAAAGTTGAACACTCGCAGTTCAGAGTTGATGCAGGATCAAATGGGGCTTCTTATATAATGCAAGTCCAAGGTATTGTCCTCTGAAGCTCCTCTCCAGATCCAACTTCCAAGGACTGGTGGAGTTACATTTCTGATTGATGGATGACTGACAGCACAATATGTTTTTATTGTATAATGAAATGAACACATTGGGTTAGATTTTATTTTACTGGGAAGCAATAAAATACATAACATTAACTGAAATCCAAGTGCTCAAAATAAAGTGCTGTCATTTTATGGTTATATACTTACGGGAGTTTCTTCAATGTAAGTCTTGGAGTGATGCATTATGAAGCCTGAAAGTTGACTGAATTGGTGTATATCTAGGTGGATAGGTCTATTTTGAGGTTATTGAATGGATTGTTCCTGTTTCCTTGTTTTACAAGAGTCTGGAATTGAACTTCCTTCATTTGTCTTTTTTCCGCTTCAGTCTTTATTATTTGTAGGTAACTGTTATGGAAAGCTGGCATTAAGGTTTTAAATATCTGTTGGCACTTCCTGATTGTGTTTTTGTTTTCATAGTTTGCATTTTGCAAAAGCTAGTAGACTATTGCATCTTTATAATGTGTATGAATATATCACATGACGTTTTAGTCATGAAATTGACAACTGAATGTAAGAACTTTTAAAACTTGTAGCAAATTCGTCAGCAAACCAGCCTTTGGTGAATGCTCCATCATGGTCTATGCAGACTCAAGCTGCTTCATTAACTAGAAGTGCATCAGAAAACAAGGTGCCTGCTCATAACTCTGTCAAGGTTGAAGGCACACCTGGCATTACTGTAACAAGGACAGGGCCACAAATAACAACAGATCCAAGCTTTAGACCATTTATCACTCAAACAGCCCCTGGAAATTTGCCTAGTATGCACCAGCCATTGCAGGCCACAAACATTGTTCAGCCTCCTTTGATTCCTAGTCACAGTGATATTGGAAAGATTGTACAGAAAGTGTTACAACCAAAGCATCCTGACCATCCCATGTGGACTCCTCCATCAAGGGATTATATGAATAAGGCTTTGACATGTCAAATGTGTGAGCTTAGTGTCAATGAGGTTGATACTGTACTTCTCTGTGACGCCTGTGAAAAGGGATTTCATTTGAAGTGCCTACAGCCATCAGTCTTGAGAGGAATCCATAATAGAGTGGATTGGCACTGTATGAGGTGCTTGAGTTTAAGTGGTGGAAAGCCTTTGCCTCCAAAATATGGTCGTGTCATGAGGTCATCAAACACACCACCTAAATTGCCCTCTAATACAGGTGGTATTCAACCATGTTCTGAGAAGAAAGCAGAGAACATAGATCCGAAGGTCTTCTCACAGATGTTAACAACAAATGGGAGCTCCATTTCAACTGTTTCCAGTGGTAATCACAATGCTGAGCTGCTATCTGACTCAAAAATCCCATATACCAAAGATATGCAAGGGATTGGCATTTCATCCAGCATTGAAGCTATTGATGGGATGCCTGATCCAAACAACACTGTGAAATCTCTTAGTGCAGCAGCTTCCAGTCCTTCCACTGGCTTGCTAGGTGAAAGTTCTGCTCAACAAATAAATTCTAAGGTTTTGACTGGCACAGAGACTTCAGAATTTGAGTCTCTTCCTAAATTATCTGAGCCAGCTAAATGTGAAAATTTGCAATCATCACAAGATTTTCAAGTTGAACAGACAATGTCACAAGACAATGAAGTATCATCAGATAAACACTCTGACAGCAATATTATGAATAAAAAACAGATGGAATCTCATGGAGGAGAAAATTTAACTTACGATATCAAGCGTGATGACCAAGCTGCCGCACTTGCAAATGTTGTAGGAACTTCTGAAACTAATACCGAAGGTAGACAGCACTCTGCATTATCTTCAGATAGCTCACATGTTGTAGAATGGATTGGTGATGTAGTGCAACTCGTAGATGAAAAAAAGTTTTATCAATCTTGCTGTGTTGATGGAGTAACATATAGGCTGCAGGGTCATGCTCTTTTCTCCACCAGCCATGGCAAACTAACTCCTTCTAAACTCCAGGCAAGCAAATCATCATACTTTCCACTATAGTCTAGCAGTAGATTATATCATACCTGTAGAAATTTACCCGAAAGTTTTTGAAGCAGATACATATACCAAAAAATTTGTTTTTTTTTTTTTTTTTTGTGTACTTTGTTTCTGTTGTGTTTTGACTGGTTTGCATCCTTGTGTGAAATGTTTTTTTTTTGTAAATTCGATAACCTTGACAAAGTAATTTATTCCCTTTTTATTTTCAGTCTATGTGGGAAGACTGCAAAACTGGGTTAAAGTGGGTTAAGGTGACAAAGTGCTACTTTCCTGATGACTTGCCAGGGAATATTGGTCATCCGTGTATATCTGAAGTAAATGAGGTATTCTCTTATACATACTTCTTTAAATATAAAATTATAAATAGATGTCATTTTCCTTTGATAGATATCAATGGATTCATGCAAGTGTGGAAGTTTGTAATTGGTATGTTAACTATTAGTATTTAATATTTATCTAGAGCTACATTGGTTTGAACTTGTGGTCTATACAGTTAATTTCTGTTTTGTTTGAAATTCCATCAAATGATAATGCTCCAAATCTTGCACATGCTCCTCATTTTGAACCATATATTGCATATGGATATTTTCTTATTGTTATGTTTTTTTTTGGTTGAAGGTTTATGAATCTAATAGTGATAGAACTGAAATGGCTAGCTCTATTCGAGGCCCATGTGAAGTCCTCCCATCTGATAAATTTAAACTAGAAAATGAAAGGCGATGTCAGTTAGGAATTGAGGAAAGTTCTAGAGTACAACCCATTTTCCTTTGCAGGTTTGTTTCTTTATATTCACGCATCATCCTAGAGAGTTTTATTTTATTTTTGTTTTACTTTGCCTATTTCATTCAGTTTATACAATTTTTCATATTTGTAATGCAGTCATCAAGTAGAAAATATGATTACAATTTATCGCATGGTATTCTTGGTAGAAAATGATAGATTGATAGGAAACAGGGAGATGAAAGAAAGAGCTGTGTTTAAAAAGGGAGATAAAATGCTTGTAATTATCATTTAGGCTTGTAATAGGTGGTGAAAATTTGGAAATTGAAATGCATTTTCGTGTTGCTTGTCAATATGACTGACCATAAAGAATATGTCATGTTTTCCTACTCTAACCTCATTCCAATTTTTATATAACGTTACATTGGCACTATTCATTCTATTTTTATTTCAATTTGATGAAATTTTTGTTCAAAAGAATGAATAAATGGAAAACTCCGTAACTTTGTGATAATTATCTTACCTGGAATACAATGAATATGAGACCACATAGTTGTTAATTGAACCTGGAAGACAATCACAAACAAGGACTTGTGGACTCATCTCATGGAACAATCACAATCCATATATGTTGAGAGAGTAAAGGCCATAGTAATCAATCTAGCATTCAATTCCAAATACGCTATAGTGGGATGGCCACTATTTTAAATATTTCTTTATACACACATATATCATCTATACTGTTATAAATAATTACATATGTAATGCTAAAAAAAATACTAAAGTGAAGGAAACAAAATATCTTACAGTTTTAAACATTCCAAGTGATGAAAAAGTTGCTGGAATCAGAACAAGCTTGCTAAAAATTAGTAACAGAAAGCCAAATACTGAAATAAAATGTGGGAAGAAAGAAGAGCAGCCTACATTGTACTTGCAGCCATTGGAGAAGAGGTTGTCTCTGGCGAGGGTGGGTGGGCAAGAGAACAGGACACCATGGGAGAAGAGAGAGAGGAAAGGAGGGTGTCGGTGTCATTGCTGCTGAATAGTGGTGGGGAGGGGATGGGGAGTTTTTTTAGTTTTATGTATGACCAGGGTAAATGTCATTTTCACATTACCCCCTCCCCCTAAACAGCACTATGCAGGGGCAAAATTGGGCTTTTGAAACCCATCACAATTGTGTTATGATTGCATGTAAAAGGCTTGTAATTTGACCGGGACAGCTGAAAATTCCACACCTGGCTGTAGTCCCCAGTGGTCACTCCGTTCTGTTATCTTGCACTATTACCTTTGTAATAAATAGGTGGACTGTGGGTAAGAAAGAGCAGATGGCACTAACTTGCAGTTGCCAGAGAAGAGGTTGTCTTTGGTGAGGGTGGGTGGGCAACAGAAGAGGATGTCTTTGGAGAAGAGAAAGAGAGAAGAGGAGGGCATTGGTGACATTGCAGCTGATGAATTGGGGGTAGTTTTGTGTGTTTTAGTTTTATGTATGAGGAGTAAGTAAATGTCATTTTCACCCCTAACCTCCCCTCCCCCTAAACAAAACCACTGCGAGGCAAAATTGGGTTTTTGAAACCCATGACAATGGTGCTGAGATTGGGCATGGAAAGCTTGCAATTTGGCCGTGACAGCTGTGACCCCAAAATTGCTGCGCAAAGATGTGGGCTGTGCACAGTGGCCACCCCATGTTACTAGTACACAGGATGGATTACCTTGGGAACAGCCTCTTCTGATAACAATATAGGTTGATCTACTCATGTTGGAAAACCCATGACAAGACTAACAAGTCCAACAGAATCCATGAATCTAATTAAAATACTTAACTTTCCATTAGCATAAGAGACAATACATGTGCTAACCCAATAGATACTTTGCCATATTTTGGCATTCAGTTAATCCAAGTTTTTAACAAATATGTGGCTATGCTAGTCTATTTAAGATTAAAAATCGAACACAATGTTCTGATGAAATTATTTCATTATCTTGGAATACAAATGAATGCTGTTCTATTTTTATTGCTGTTCCTTTATTTGTTGCATCATTTGTGTTTTACCATTTGCTATCTCACTGTTTACTGGACTCCTAACAGATGCTTAACTTCTGGTTTTGAAATCAAATATTGAATTCATATTTTAAGGTTCATACCTTCAGCATCGGACCACCTTATTGTAATCAATCTGGATAAAGTCTGAATAAAATCAGAGTTGATATTTTTGCCTTGTGGATTTTTTCTTCTTGCCTTTTTGTTTTGAGGTGTCTTAAGTGATTTGGCTTGTTTTGCAGGTGGTTTTATGATGAATTCAAAAAGTTATTTCAACCTGTAACCAGTTGATTATGTCTTGAACATATATGTTTCGTGAATCCTACTCGGTGCAATTTGTGGTGAGTGCTTTACCTGTTATCTATTCAAATTGTTGGCCGAAACTTTCTTTACCCTAATGTATCTACTGAGTGTTTCTATCCCCTTAAATCACTTGTGTGCCATTGTATTAGGAACATTGGATGTTGGGGGTTATATTCCCAACCTGAATTTGGGTTGAATTACTTCTTAAGCTTAGACTTGTAAACCTGTTAGTTTCTCCTATTTCAAAATAATGCTAAAAAATTCATAGAATTCAAACTTAGCTCACTTGATTCAACATTTCGCTTCATGTACACAAAGTTGTGAATCTACTTTTCATTTATACATTTCGGCTGAAACTTAAGGGATGTTAGGGGAGAGAAGTATCCCAAGGAAACAATAAAAAGAGAGATAAAAATGATAGAAGCGGCACAAATATGAGCATTTGACTTGGAGCTTAGAGAAAAGAACAATGTAAGTTGAGGTATGAGAGAAGGGTGAGGTATTCTGCATTAGAGTATTTTCTTATAATAGGGACCAGAAGTCCTGAACTTGTAGAACACAAAGAAAACCATATTAATTTTTGAGCGAGCGTTTGTTTCAGTAAAATAATCTGTCATTGATTTCATATTGGAATTTATTAAAACTCTTATGTTTTACATGTTATAATGTATTTTTGGTATTTAGAGGAATGCTAATGGCATACTTTTTTAAGTTAAATTATAATTTTGGTCTTTCTACGGGTGCTCTAATTCAAATTTAGTTCCCCCATTTTTTTTTGGCCAATTTAACTCCTTACTATTTTAATTGTGCTATTTTGGTCCCTTGACATGTAATGTTTAACTAGAAAAACTGACTTGACACTCCACCGTATTGCCATGTCAGCTCATTCATACTGATATGACATTCTACTACAGTGTAATCTCAGCATTCATGTTAAAAAATGAGTGAAACAACTTCGAATTGGGATTTATAAAATTATGCAGATTCTGCTTCTTTTTTGATGTGTATCATAGTTGTGAGTTTTAATAGTTTCAACCAATCATAAATAATGTATTATTAGCATTTCTTTGGTTTAATTATTAGTGCATTATCTCTTGATTATCTCCGTCCCAGTTGCTGTGCTGATTTTTTATGCGCTTTTTTTGTTTGGATGCAGGTGTTTGGTGGGTTTCGATCAGAATTTTTCTTGTATGGGTAATTGAGCATGCATCAAGATTCACGCGAGACCCACTATGAGGTACATTGTAGTGGCATTGCTTCCTCGTACAAGAATGTTCAATCATTTCAGCATAAATTGCATTTGATGTAAAATATGTAGCTGGAGCTGTGGACTGCTTAGTTTAGCTTTCGCTTTGGTAGTTCTTTTCCCGATAGATATTCATTCTGTATAATTCTTTTTGGGCACTAGGCTCTTTAGGCCCAATAATCACATTATTATCTTTCTATTAGATCAGTGTAGTTCCCTTAGTTTTGCTGGAATCGTAAGATGTTTCATCTGTACAAAAGCCATTTCTTTTAAAATGCATAACCTTGGGAATTTCGTTAACCATTGGATATCAACTAGGCTACCAGTGTTGATTTTTCTACCTATCGCCAAGCAGCCTAGATTCTGCTGTCTGAGCTCAGTATTGGGTCATGGGTTGATAGGTCTTTTATTCCATTAGTTGGTTTGTTTACGACAGGTGTTTTAATAAAATATGTTCAAATAGTCCACTTACAAAATAAAATGATATTGATTGGATCAAGCATATTCATTTCTCTTTTCAAATATGAAATTACTTTTAATGTTGAATTTTCGATCAAGTAATTTGAATACTGCTAACTATGCTTCCACCACTAGTCATTTATGCTTTGTATAATGTATAGTATGATGATGCAACGGAGAGTTTTTGTACGACTTGACGATATGATCGCTAAGTATTAAACATTCTTTTATTAATTACTTAATCTTTGCAAAATACTTTTAAACTTTCACAAATAAAAAAGTCCGACTCAGCTCTAGAATTAGTTATTCGAATGAAAGACTTACGTCATAAATTGTTCATTTGGGATAAAATTGATGTTTATAACATTGATCATCTCAAGTCAAATTGTTCACTTTTGAATAATATTGGATGTTCTTTAACATTGATAATTGACGGAGGCAATGGTAAAACAATGATCGAAATTTAGATAAACCCTCATCTTATAAGAAAATTGTTTTTGACGTTGGACACCCCCATAGGTCGTGACACAATATTATCGTTGTGTTGTAAGGAATATTTCCCAGTGAAAATTTGATTTTATGTATCAAAGCACAATAGAATATGATTCTCGTTGAATCGCGGAACCATGATTTTTTTAAACATTAATAAAAACAATTATGATACAAGAGAAAAATATAACATCAAATTTTCATATAACAATAATGCCATGTGAAATTTTGACAAGAGAAAAAAACCAATTGATCACCTAAAAAGTTATGTTATTAGTATCTTCTCTTATTCATTCCTATAACCAGCATTACCCTGTATCCATTTATTGAGGTGAGTTTGGTGGCCTAAGTTTCTTAGTATAGACAAATAATTAATGCATTCGAATAGATTGAAAATAGAGACAAAGGAATTGAAGTAGTTTCACAATATCAAAGCATTAAACTTTCATCGGAAAAGATAAACCATTTGCATGAGCATCGTGTATGTGACTATTATAGACAAGATTAATCTAGATTGAGTCAAGCAGGACCATCGAAGACCGCAAACTTCTTCCTCCAAATAGGGATATTTTAACTCGAATAAGTTATAACAATCCTCCACCAACTGAGGCATGTGTTTGGCTATAAGTATGTGACCCAGTCCCATTCAGTTCTTCATTTCTACTCTTTCTAGCCTTTTTTGTTCGTGTTTAGCAGAAAAGTTTAAGCCTTGAATTTCATGCACATCTCCTTCTTTCCCAATATCATCGAATTCGAGACACCATGCTAGGTCCTACAGTATATCACGGACACGCAGATCTTCAATAATCTTGTGTAGATAATAATACTAATATATAGATGTATATAGTTGCTTCAAGTGGATCCAACACCAAAATATCATGAACTTCAAATTAAAATTCTTGATGAGATGAACTTATACACTCTCTATCATGTGAATAGCCTATCAATTTTATAAAATTGATAGGCATGTGGATGCTTACCTCAATTCTGCCAATACTTATTAACTCTTCACAGTTTATGGTATGAAAAACCGCGTAGTGGAACTTGGAGATTAATTTCTACGTTGTTAGCCAATCAACATGGCAAGAAGTCTCACTTGCAATAGAAAAATCAATGCAATAAATGTGGATATGTAGAAATAGAAATGGGTAGAGCCTATATACTAGCTAATAAATGTCCTTTTGTGAAAACAAAATAATATTTTACGCTCCTCTTTGTCGTCACAAACCGCTCTATGGTCTAGTTTGCCTTAAAAGTTTGATACCAATAACTGCTATCTTTGAATATTTCTGGGGTCCTTGTTCCTTTCTAGAGTTACATGCAGATCAATATTTTAGATTAGGTGTTCCTTTAGAATTTTCATACACATGATGTTTGCTAAATTTTATTTTATTTTTTTAAAAAATGGCCAAGCTAGATGCCTATATGGCTAGATAGAGGACATGGAAGACAAATTGTATTTATACATGAAAAAATACACTTTATTTTAAAAATAAGAGGTGAGGGGAAAAAAGTGACGTGATAGAAAAAAAATTGTATTATTATATAATTTTATTGTATAAAAGCCACTTCCTAAGATCCACAACGTTATTACTGTGTTGTTTCCTACCCTTACTACCGTGTAGTACCAAAGAAAGTGGTAAAAAAACATCACAATCACAAACGCTCTTCTAGTAACATCGTTTTGATCTTTCAAATATATTTACCACAGATCACAAATTGTTTATTATTTAATACTACATTAAAAAATATTTTGATCATAACTATATGTGACATTTAAAGACTAAATTATATATTATGTCACATACATTTTAAAGAACAAATTTAATGTATTTATATGATAACTTGACATTTACGAAAAATTATCAGAGTTTCTAGTACGAAGATCGAGCTCACAAACTAGCTTCGATGTATTGATTTGGTGTATTGGATGTTTGACCTGAAGAAGTTCCCCACGTATTCTTTTCTATGTAACATGTTCTCCTTTTATTCATAATTTTAAATCAAATTGTGGCTCTAGTTAAACTATAATGCTTTTCTTATCAATCGAAATTGCCTTGATGACAACTTAAAATCTTGTTTATATATTTCAAATACTGTGGGTAAATTACAGATACATTACGAGAACTACAATAACTCTAATTAAGCTTAATATTGCATAACCAAATATATATTCTCATTAAAACATTTCCTGGACTTTATTATAAGACCCCTTCCACCTTTCACCAAAATCCAAATGAGGTTAACCAGAAAGGACACACAGGAAAAACTAGGCAGAGAAGCCGTTGCACTGGCACAACAATATATGCAAAAAGGAAATAACTAACGACTTTTGACCATCCCACCATGGCTAAAAGTCTTCCCTTTCTCATTGGTTCAATCACCTTATTTAGTAACCAAAGCTAGCCTACGCAGTCATAATTATTTTTGTTTCACCAAAATAAATAAAAATAACTTGTGCTCATTCCTAAACCACTAACCTAAATAGATGTTGATTCAAAATATGGAAACAACAAGGATAAAATATAAATTGAGCTAGTCCTTGTATTAGACATTATTTGTTTTAATCTCTTTATGGAAAACTATATATATATATATATATTTATATTTTATCTCTTTACGAAAAATTCTTTACAAAGTAATCTTTAGTTTCTTAAAACTTTAACAGTGTGTTAGAAAATTTTTCAAGTGGGAACTAAAACAAAAAACATGTCAAATTAATGTAGGGATTAAAACATATATATATTTTTTGTATAAGAATCAAAATGAAATGTAACTTTTATTTTTTTAACGTATAAACTAAAATGGAAAACATTTAGAATCGAATACCAGTATATAACTTTGTCAAATGACAGGTATAAATTCATAAATGCTTTTCTATGGTAAGACTAAATTTTTAATTTGTCCGAATGAAAACTAACCCATTGCTTTTAAGTTCAACTGGTATCGAAAGACGTGGATATATTCATATAATAACTATAAAAATATGCATAATAACCAAATACTAAAAATAAAATATAAAGTTAATTATGAGCATTCTTTACAAGGTAGGGCTGCATATATATATATATATATATTGTAAAAAGATAAAGTGGTCAGCATTGTTTAACGGTGGTTAAGGCTTAGAAGAAGGAACTCAAAAAGGAGAGGTGCTAGGGTGAAAGTCAGAGATGACAAAGATTCCAAGTTTTTGGATTGAAGTGTAGGTTAAATTTCAAAGGAGTATCATAATGGGTTAGAAACTGTGTGTATATATATATATATTTAATATGATGCCTTTTTCACAACCTTTAATTTGGGGCTGTGTAACACTATACATACATGCCTTGTGTTTGTATGTGTCAAAATATTGAGAGAGAGAGAGTCAAAATCACATAATTTATTTGTGCCGTTCAGATTTGGACTGTGGAACTTGATCCTATATTTTCTTGTTCTTAATTGCAAGGCTAAATAGTTGTGTCAAACCCTACATATATAACTGTTAACAGAAAACAATATAAATTCGTGGACCAATAACTGATATGCTGTCATAGTTAATTACAATTTTGTATGTATATATCATTTAAAATTATTCAGTTTGTGTAATTTTACATGCACTTGTAGGATCATTCAACCTAGATGCCAAGTTAAGTCTCAGAGCCTAGCTAGCTAGTCCTATATAATCCAATATTTAATGGAATTACCAAACAAAGGTTTTACGTTGCCTTTGATTATTGGAAATGTACATATATATGGAGACAAATTTTAAAAACCAGTCGATGGGTAAGGCCTGCACCTTTTCTTTCTTCTTATTATTTTCTTTTCTTACAAGTATTTACAGATATATAACTTTATCTAACTAAGACCTATGTTATCAAATTAAGTTTTACATCTTTAAATTTAATTTATTTTAAAGAAGTGTCTTTTAAGAAGATTATTTTAAACTTATTTTACTCAGGACTTAATAAGATCTTTTTTAATATGAATTGTTTTTTTATAAAGTCATAGACACTAAATATAACTCGCAACTTAAGGCAATTTTTATGACAAAGTAGAGAATCCACGAATGAAATTCATGACATAACCATAATTTCATTATCGTGGTTAAGCAACATGACTTTCATTTGAATTAACTTGCTTATAGCACGAGTTTCACTTAACCCCATGGTATAAAAATGGAATCATGGTAATGAAGTTTGGTTATAGTCACAAATTCTTAGAGATATATATATATATATATATATGAACAATTTTTTTTAATTAGATATGGGATCAAGTTTATTTTTGTTATATGAGATCTCATTCGTGACATATCTATTGAATTTTTTAATTTCTTTCTTTTTTAATAAGATATGGGATCAAATTTATTTTTGTTATATGAGATCTCATTCGCGCGCGACATATGTATTGAATTTTTTCTCTTCTTCTTTAAACACGTTTCTTATACAATTTAGAGTTTTTTTTATTACCCACTATATTTTAATTTAGTTAGATTTGGTGCGATTATTAAGGATGGTAAAGATTTTCTAATTTTTCACTCGTTGCAGGGTAAAGGAAGGTTAGGGTGAAAGACTTCATTTCTCCGAGAGTCCCACCACTAGAAAAGTCTTCGTAGAGATCACAATTAGGTGAGGTTACACATTTTAGTTTGTTAGTTTTGTGGCTCACTCTACCTATATATATATATATATAAACTCACTTCTAATCTATGACATCACGAGCTTATTAAAATGAAGATGTGCTTGATGTCCATGATTTTTTTGAAGTCTCTTTGCTAAATTGTGGGTAAGTAATCGCATCATTTTGTAAAATAAATTTAAAGTTTTACCAATTAAGAATTAAGAAACATAATTGTCACCATGAGCTTGTATATGTTCCTCTGCACCACATGCAGGTTGAGATGTGCTGTCTAAGCTGTGAAAGAATATTTGCATTATCCACCTTGTTGACAGAGCTGTCTCTTCATATTAGCTAGGTTCTATTGCTGAGTTTTATTTAATACGACAATTTTTTTTATTTCATTAAATGGCATATAAATTTTATTCGGTTATTTTCATATTTTTTGAAGTTTGAGATGGTACATGTACATGCATGTGCTTATATAGTGAATAATTTGCTTTCGTTATATGATATTGTTTCTGTTGCTCTCTAAACAAGTTTATTTATATGAAATAAAGTTGAAAATAACCTTCCAAATATTTAAATGTAAGATAAATTACATGTTGTATACTTAAGATACCAATTTAAAAAATGTATAACTTTTTTTTTTCAACTTTGGTTAAATTGAATTCAACAGATTTTCAAATACACCCATATATACTGTTGAAAAAATTGTATATATAGATAAGGAGTTTGATACATGTTATTAATAAAAAATGAGCATATGTATAACTTTATAGAGAGTAGGGATGGCAATGAGGTCCCATAGGGGTGTGTAATAATAAATCTGTCTCCGCTTCATTAGATGAAAATTGACTCATACTCACCCCATATCTACACGGGTATCCATTAAGCGGGTATTCATGAATTTCTTGAATACCCACGGATATCTATGGATATCCATGAATATTTATAAATTTTTAAGAAATTAAAAGAATTATATTATAAATAATTTTAAGTTTATATTTAATGTCATTGAAATATTAAAAATAAAAATTTAATATTAATTTTAGACTTGTATTTAACATTAATTTTGTTGAAATAATAATAAAAGTGCAAGATAATCAATAACTTAAAATACATCAACCTCACAAGTAAGTGAAAGTCTTATATCACAAAGTTACAATAATTCAATCTCATAATTCCAAACGAAAGTAAACAACTTAAAATACATAAATCTTATTGGTCCAATCAAAGCTAGAAAATTAATCAAATTACATCAAACATAATTCTATAACATGCTTAACACATGTTGGTAACTTCATCAACCTCACTTTTGTAAGAAAATAAGATGAGAGAGTGTAGTTTTAAGATTATGTGGTACAAGGATAATTAGGATATTTAAGAAATATTATTAAACGGGTACCCGCGGGTATGAATATCATCATACCCGCCCCCGTCCCGTTTATAAACAGGTAAAAATTTATCTGTTCCCATTATTCGCGGGTACCCAATTAACCTATCAATTTATTATCCGTAGCATATTTTACCTGCAAATACCCGCAGATGCGGGTATTTTAACCATTCCTAATAGAGAGTTTTAATTAACTAGATGAGTTCCGTAGATAGGCTGGGGTACATTTTTAAATTATAAATATAACCTATTTTAATATAATAAAACATACATACATCTATTAATTATAAAAAAATAGTACACATATGTTTTCAACAAAATTAATAAAAAAAATGACAGATTTAAATTACCTTAAATGTCATGTAACTAACCAACAGTATTTAATTGGAGTATAAATTAAAGTGTTAATCATCTATACATTGCCAGTATGTAAAGTTTTTTACACTGACAATCAATTATATCTTTTAAAATTATTTATTTTATTATTATTTCATTAAATAAACAACTGACATGATACTATTAAAAGATATGATTGGTTGCCAGTGTATAGGTAATTAACTCTAAATTAAATGTAACTTCCAAAACAATCTTTATTTGCTCTTTCCAAATACTCTTATGGTGTGTTTGGACGAGAAATTTTACAAATTCAAAGGATTTGAAATTCTTGGTATTTAAATTACTTTGATTTCAATTTCTATCATTATCAAAATGTTTTGTTTGGATAAGTCAATTCAAATTTCTTAAATTTTAAATTCTTAGTTTGGATATGATAATTTGATTCTATCATGGTAAAATTGATTTTAAAAATATATTTGTATGTTGAGATTTTTAAATAAAATTTAATAAAAATAAATATTAGCCAATTTTTAAATATTTAATAATTTTAAAAATTAATATTAGATAATATTTAATAATTTTAAAAGTATTTTTGAATATCCAATAATTAAAAACATGAAGAGATAAGAAATAAGATAAAATATATAAGTGAAATAAGAAAAAAAATATGATAAATTTCAAATTCTTACCTTTTTGAGAAAAATTCTAAGGAATTTCACATATACTTAAATTTCAAATTCTTTATAAATTCTCATCCAAACAAAATATTTCATCTCAAAAAATTTAAAATTCATCAAACAAATGACTCTACATTCCGTGTTTATACTTTCTTTTGACTGATAGAAGCATTTCTTCTCTAAAGTGTTTTTGAGCGTCTTCATTATACAAGAGAGAACACGGTTTCACATTAAGAAGTAAATGAACTTTTTGACCATGTGTAAACAAAGGATTAATTAATATTTTTAAATTATTTTTAAGTAAAATTTTATTTCTATTTACTTTATCATTTTTAAATTTCAAGATAACTTATGTTATTAGTTATATTTTTATATCTCATCTAAATTTTAATTAATTTATATATGATAATTAATATATATTTATTATGAAATGAAAATGAAAGAGTATATAATAAAAAATATAAAAATCATTTTATGAAAAATAAGAAACTTTATTATATTTATTAATTTGTGTAAAATAACATTAAACGATTATTATGAAAGAATATAAATAGTATATAACAATGATATGCATGTTATTGATGAATTAATTAATTTGTAGTGTATGAAGCAACTCAATTTTTGGGGCAACTCCTTTGAAGTTTCTTGTTGCATTTCTTTCACCTTACCAAACACAGACCTATTCTGGACATGCATGTGAATCGTGATTTCAGAGAAGTAACACTACTCTTATGCTTTTAGGAAAATTTTTAATTTACCTTTTCTTTGGAAGAAAAGGCATGTGAAAACCGTCTTTTTTAATTTATCCATAAATTCAGGGGTTAAAATTTCTTAGCCTTTACGGCATACGGGAAATGAAAGGAATATTACAAAAAGAAAAAGTAACAAACGAAAAGTGATCAAAGTTATGCGAATATAAAGTGAACACAACACAACTCAAAAAAAAAGAAGTAAAGTAAAGTGAGCCGTGGAGTAAATGTTTATTAATTGATTACCATTTTAATCCCACAAAAGAAATATACCATCGGATTTATTCAGTTGTTAGGTACAAACTGATGAACCTTGATTTCTGGGGTGATGACTTAATTAATAATAAAATTATTAATCATCATTTGGCTTTTAATGGATTACTTTGACTCTCCTTATTATATAATAAAGCCCTAAACAGCCGACAAAAGTAATCAATCTTCTCACAAGAATAAACAATTAAAAATGTAAAAGTTGCTTAGTAAAGAGTAATCAATTTAAGTTGTTATTTACATGGCGAACTTTGGGCAAATGAAAGGAAACTTACGTAGCCTTAGGAACCATTATTGTTCACCTTCTTTGTTTTTTCACCATATAGCTAGCTAGGTACCTGGTTGATTCCTTATATAATACGTATCATTACTCAATAATTTTCAATACATTAATCTAAAGCTCTCTAACATTATATTTTAATGCAAACTTCTTAATTAGCTGTATCATTATGCATTGAGCAATGTTTTTTAACATAAGGTGAAAAAGGTTATGATGGAAACTTTGCATAGCACTTACTGACTTATGATTTAGTACTTCTTTCGCAGATAATATAATCGATACATGACATTCTGGTATCAAAGATTCAAAGTATATAGCGATTAATTAAAGAGATAAGATATTTGTGTTGATTTTTTTTTTTTTTTTGTGTTGCTTTTATCAATATCATCTTTTGGCTATACAAACTTTTGTGTTTGGATGTAATAAGATCCTCTACCACTAAAAATATATAGCTATAGATGATCCTAACCTCAATCTTTTGATGAGGCTTATGACCTATGCTCTACAATATTGGTATAAGTTGTTACTGCAAGTTAATAAAAATATAAAATATTATTTCTCTAACAGAATATGTACTCTCCTTTTGTTTTTGTTAGACAGAATCTATATCCAGTCTTGGGCCTTTCGTGTTGCACACGAGGCCCACATTCCGTGCTTTTAACTTTTCCAAGTTTATATACTGTTAACTAATTTATAAATAATGATCATAATAACAATAATAATAAAAATAATAATGGATGGTTGCTTGCCATTTGTATGAACTAGCTAATAGCACAAGTTAACAGAATACATACATAGAATAAATAATAATAGCCTCCTTCTCTGTCTATATATACCAACTCTCTAGCCTCTCAGTTTTCCAAACTCAAACACCTCCAAACACTACTCTCTCTCTTCTCTATTTTTTCGTATACAATTTCCCTTTCATTCATAGTTCATCTCACATCACCAAGGCCAAGTTAGCTTCCTATTGAATCATGGCTCCAATGGGAGACAATGTTGTTGTGTCCAACATGGAACTGGAGAGGTTGCTTAGCATGAAAGGAGGCAAAGGAGAAGCTAGCTATGCCAACAATTCCCAAGCACAGGTACATTAAACACACATCAAACAAACTTGTTTTTCATAATAAATAAAATAAAACTATGATTTTGTTTGGATACAAAAATATAGAAGAAGTTCTCTCTGAAAACAAAGAACTTTTTTTAGTAGAAAAATTCTTCTAAATTTGTATTAAATAGGATTTCCGGCTCCATTCATTCTCTCATACATATCCTCAAAATAAAATATATGTTGATAAATAATAATTAGCATGCATATAGTAAGTACTCCATATGTTTTTTCTTTGATACTATGTACCCCATATGTTTGTTGGTTACTAAAACTAAAGCTAGACATAAAACATGAAGATGGCAATATATGATGAGAAGCATGCATTATTGCAGGCCATACATGCCAAGTCCATGCTTCATCTTCTGAGAGAAACTCTAGACAGAGTTGAGCTTGTTGAGGGACGTGAGGTGCCATTTGTGGTGGTGGACTTGGGGTGTTCATGTGGAAGCAACACCATAAGTGTTGTGGATGTGATAATAAAGCACATGATGAAGAGGTATGAGGCTTTAGGGTGGCATCCACCTGAGTTTTCAGCTTTCTTCTCAGACCTTCCAAGCAATGACTTCAACACACTGTTCCAACTCCTTCCTCCACTTGCCAACTATGGTGTCAGCATGGAAGAGTGCCTTGCTGCCAACAACCACCGCTCCTACTTCGCCGCCGGAGTCCCCGGCTCCTTCTACCGGAGGCTTCTTCCGGCCAGGTCCGTTGATGTTTTCCACTCAGCCTTCTCTTTGCATTGGCTATCTCAGGTAACTAACTATCACTCTTATTATTTATTATTAGAGCAAAATACTTGAGAAATTATTAAATGGTTTGGACCATATAGTTATTTATTAATTTTGGATGACATATAATTAAGTGTTATTAATTCTTGATTTTTTTTTATGCTGAACTCCCTACTAATTTTTCAAAAATACACCAATATAAATATCCCTGTGAATTCTTAGAAATTCAAATTAGTGTATCATGTAACTTGTAAGGAAGTTATAAAGTTAAAAAGAGTGAGCTATCATGTGAATTTCAAAGAAATCAAAGGAATATTAGTGTAATTTGTTATTCTTATTATTATCTATAAAATATCAGTTTATGCCTTTTCTAATTGTTAATGTCAACTCTAACTTTTGGTTTGTGGTTTTTTTTTCCTTCATGTTTTTATTAAATAGTTGAAAAATTGCCACTTCTCTTAATTAAAAAAATCTTATTTCTAAAGGTTTTTTTTTTCTCAAATAATAAAAATTAATTAGTTTTCGTAGGTTTACCTTTTTTGGGGGCGGGGGAGGGAGAGAAAGTTCAATGGATACCTTCACTCTTACTTCTAAAGTTTTCATTAATTGATATATTTCTCTTTGCAATTGAAGTGGTTAAATTATTACACAAAGTTATAATTTTATTTCAAATCATTCTACTTGTATCTTTCATCATTCGCTTGTCCAAGATCTTTATAAACCTTTCGATTAGAATTCCAACTTTAAGGTACCACACACATTTCTTGTTAACTTTTGGTGGATCATAATTACGTTAATTTGATAAACCCTTTGAAGCAATTTCTCGTTAACAAGACTTCCATATAATCTTTTAATTCACTCCCCAACCTACCCATCAATAATCAAAGATTCTATTCCTGTAGTCACTGTCGTATAATCTGTAATTTCCACGACAAAATGAAAGGGATATTTGCTTCTTCCCGAGGATAAGATAGTAAAACCATCATTAATTTGAAGGCTAAGTCGTAATTTATGGTCAAAAAGTGAATGCAGCAAACCATGGTCTATAGGGTTGAAAAAAAGGACCATGCTTCAGGGAAACAAGTAACGTGTTTGGACAGTAATTTTAAACAATGCATGCATCAGCAACCAATGTTCTTCTACTTTCATGCATCTTAAATTTCAATATTATATGGGGCCAGCACATAGAATTTGATTACCAAAAGAGACACACACATTTAGAGTTGGGATTCCCCCTGTAAAAGTGTGTACTATTTGGTGCTTATTGGTCATACACAGTTACATTGATAGTATGTTCTTTACCATACAAAATTCAGATTTCTTGCAGTAAAAGTGTGCAGTATTTTGTTTCTACACTAAAGTAGAACTGCATGGAATTGAATTTGCTAAGGTGCATTTTATGTAATTGGATGTAGCCAATAGATAGCTTATTCTTTTCCTTCTCTTTTTATTAAACAAAGATATCATTTAACCAAAAGTTAAAAAGTTAAAGACTGAGCCTTCGAAATATTGAGATCCATTTAAGTTGATCTTTTTTGACAAATATTTTTCTATAAACAGAGATTAAATCTCTGACTACGTTCTTAAGAGACAAGATTATGTGTCAATTATGTCATACTAGTGTAGCCAGTAGATAGCATATTGCTCCAAATAGTGCAGATGTTAGTCCTTTTTGTTTCAACTATTTACTTTGGTTGGGACCTGTAGGTGCCAGAATGTGTAGTGGACAAGAGGTCAAGTGCATACAACAAAGGAAGGGTGTTTATCCATGGTGCTGGTGAGAGCACAGCAAATGCTTACAAGAAACAATTCCAAACAGACTTGGCAGGCTTTCTGAAGGCAAGGTCAGTGGAGATGAAGAGAGAGGGGTCCATGTTCTTAGTTTGCTTGGCCAGAACTTCAGTAGACCCCACAGACCAAGGTGGGGCGGGCCTTCTCTTTGGGACCCACTTTCAGGATGCTTGGGATGATCTTGTCCAAGAGGTAATTATCATAATCACAAACATTTCTATGCATGCTTGTGTCAACAGTTAACATAGCCATTGGCAGACCAAAAAGGAGTTGGAGACACTGTAGAGATTAAAAGCCAAAAATGCGTGAGTGTTGTAGGCATCACCACAACTTATCATGAGTTTTCACTGGCCACGTTTCAAACAAAATGGTCCCAACCGTTGATTAGCCACCCCTTATTCATCTAGCCATCCATTCATTGATCATCATGTCGGCAGAAATAATAATTAATTGCCGGCTGGCAGTGTCTTGTGGTCCATAATGTTGACCAACAATTAGGCTTTGGGTATCTAGAGCTTAGAACAAACACTGAATCACATCATCATGTCTTAAAGCTATAGACAAAATGGATATGCATTCATCTCATCAATTTTCATACATTGATCATAGCCGTGGGACCCAACAATGTCTTTGAACAGAGTCAAAGGCATGTACTTATTCTAAAAATTATCCTCTACCATGTTACACATCCAAATTCCTAATCAATGAAGTACATCTACATAATAGGATGTGTTGAGTAGTACTTAGAACAATGTCGGTTGATCAAACATATTTCATACCAAATCTCACTTACCTACTAACTTAACACTAAAGATATAGCCAGAATTTCAAATTATAGTTTGAGTACTTATCATGTCTTCATTTTTTTTTTTATCTCATTATTAATAGAATGGTAGATTTTAATATATTACTGATGTGAGATTATTTTTATGTTACCTTTTTAAAAGCAAAAGTGTTGATTTAGTTTACAGACCAATTGTGTTTGAGTATCTTTTTAAACATTGACATGCACATGGTGTTTTGAAGTAAATCATATTCTTGATTGCAGGGATTGATTAGCCAAGAAAAACGAGACAGTTTCAACATTCCAGTTTATGCTGCCAGCCTGCAAGACTTCAAGGAGGTGGTTGAAGCAAATGGTTCATTTGCCATAGACAAACTTGAGGTATTCAAAGGAGGAAGCCCCCTTGTGGTGAACCAACCAGATGATGCAAGTGAAGTAGGAAGGGCTCTAGCCAATAGCATTAGGACAGTGTCTGGAGTACTTGTTGATGCTCACATTGGTGACAAACTAAGTGAGGAGCTTTTTCTTAGAGTGGAGCACCGAGCCACTTTTCATGCCAAAGAGCTATTAGAGCAACTACAGTTCTTTCACATAGTTGCATCCCTTTCTTTTGCTCAATGATTAGAGACTCGGAGAAAAAGGTCACTTGAAGATAACTAGACGACAAAGGCTTTTCTCCACCCCCTCCCCCTTTTTTCTTTGTGTGTTGTGCTACTACTACATAGGAGTCAGAATACACAAAAGAGAGAAAAGAGAGGTTGACCATTCATCCCCAACCTTTTGTCTTCTCCCTCTTTTGCTTGGTGTTTGTGTGTCATACTGCTGACTCCAGTTACTTGCTACACATTATGCGCTTTCTGACTTATGTTCCCTTGGATCTGAACTAATTCTGGTCTCTACATAGCATACATATTATAGTGTCCATATCTTGTGAAAATTGTATGAATGGAACTTAAACCTAACAAGATGTGTTGTTGGATAGGCCATTTGATTTTGTCACATTTTCCTTGTCCTCATCAATCTCCCACCTTTTTCCTTTTAATATTTCATTGGCCAGGATAATAGGTAGATAAATTACTAGTTCTGTTCAGTTGTAATTTGAAGGTTGAAAGACGTTATTTTTTTTCAAGTGCTTTAACTTATTGCTTGTCCTAACACATTTTTAATGGCCAGCTGTTACCATTATATTGAGCCATGTCATCCATGTCTAGCTAAATATGCTGCTATGCTATGATCAAAAACAAAACCTAATAATACATATTTAGAAGGCGGAAAAAAGGGAAATTGTCACCAAAGAAAAGAAGAATACATAGAATCTTAATAAAAACAAACAGAAAACAGCAGGGAAGAAAAAACAAAAATAGGAAATTATCAGCTGATGAAAAGTGCTTGGTATCTTTATGCATCTGATATTGAAACCTCTTTAAAGTGAATCTGATATGGAAGCAAGAAAGACTGTAATGTCCCCATAAAGAGGCACAGTAAAGTTCTACCCAAATCAACCTCTCCAGAAAAAGGGAATAAAATTCAAAGTACCTTGCGCTCCATTCTTCTTAACCTTGAAAGCAGATAGAAATGAAATGCTCAAATATCAATGTACATCTTATTTGACTAGTTTAGAACCTTACAATGAAATTAAAGGTGGATCATTAATTTGGATTCTTAGCTAAGTTTGAGATTTTATCCATTATTCTTGCACTCCAAATCTCAAGCAAGGACATACTCTACAAGAAACTAGGAGAGTCGCACATACATCATTCTAGTAAACTTACAATTAACATTAAAACGGATTGAAGATAGAAATTAATGCTCTAACACTCTTTAAAATCCATCTCTAATGGATACAAAATGATTGTGTCCGACACTTCTGGCAGTCTAAAGCTCACCCTTTTCTTTACCCGGCTACTTTGGCTTCTGGTCAATGAATTAACCTTTTCATCTTTCAAAAGATTCTCCGAAGAGATGTTGAAGTCCATAGACAAAGTTGTATAATCACCATTTAAGGGTTGCTCCAAAGACAAAGTATATTCCCCAGAGTCAGAAAAATTGGTCCTTGCTCTAGCTACTGAGGGATAGCGATGCTTAAAATCACAATGATCACCATTGCAGTTACCATCCTTTTCCATAATTGGTGATTTTAGAAGCCACTCCGCTAATGTCACCTCCTTCCCCATTTTCTGTTGCTGCCCCTTTTTATTCTTCTTTCTCAGCAAGTAAGTTTGCTTGATATTTCTGGCAATCCATACTACTAAACCCACCTTTTCATAAGAAGATTCCTCCTTAGATAATCTTTGACGTCTAAAATAAGCCTCAGAACAACAGAATGAAAAGTTAATTCCCATTCCGTTTACTTTCAAAGGGAAGGGTGAGAAACGTGGTATGAAGTTATGCTTAGTCTATTATATAGGACAACTAAGACGTATTCTCCAAGAGTTAAGAATATTACATTACATGCCTTTGTTAATATCAAGAAACCAAGGAACATAATTGAATGGATAACATTAATTTCTGTTCTATAGATAAGGCTGCACTACGATTAATAAACAAAAGACATTGTTAACTTGAAGAAATACAGTTGACGTTGCTGCTGAGAACTATTTGCCTTGGTTGCATCTACCAAACTACCAATTGCTCCCATAAAAGGTTAAAAAAAGTAGCCCTAAAACCAAGCTAGGACTACAATTGGTTATTGGAGCAAGAATTATGAGTATCTAAGTTGAAGAAAGCAGCCTATACTATGTTGGAATGAAGACAAGATTGCAGACTGGTAAACATTTTATCAATGAAGCCAAAGCCTGAGACTCCAATTATATGAACGCTTTGTGTTCAAGTTCAACTGTTCCTCTTTTATCACCTCTTTTATCACAACGAGCAGATAAAGTTGTCCGTATGCCATATCACGTGAATTCACCAAGAAAGTACCTTTTAGCTTTTAACTAAAATTCATTTAATATCATGCATTATATTGATGAGAAAATCAACTATTGATATTAAGTACACGTCTCATGAATATGTTGCAATGTCAAAGGTAAATTTTTCCATCAACTATAAGATTACTTAATTTATTCTAGCTCACTTTTGAAGGGGAGCCAAGTACTAGAGATTAGACCTTGAATTTTCAGACTGATAGAAAGTTCTTTCTGTCCGTTGTAGCCACTTCAGAGAGCAAAAACATTAGACTAAAGGGTCAGAAGTCACTAATGGACTCGTGGTTAAACGAAACAAATATATTGGAAATCAACTTTGTTCTCTTCTTACGCATGTAACTAAAACTTTGGCCTCTAGAGCAGCATCTGTCTCGAAATAGGGCAATGTTATACAATTCCATTACAAAATCATCTCTCCGTGTTTATTTATTTTTTTATTTTTTAAACCAAAATTTATCTTGACCGACAATTAAAAGACTAATCTCTATGTATTTAAGGGGTTGATCTTTTTCAATAATCTGTTTCCTTGTTTGCAAACTAAGTTTTTTTTTTTTTGGTTTATTTGACGATTGAAAAAGAAAAAAAAAATGAATAAAAGAACCTGGTGCATGTTTATGTTTGGATTAGATTATTTTGTAATATTGCTTTAAAAAATAACTTAATTAAAATTGATTCATGATATATATATATAAATACTTTTTCTTTTTTAAAAAATAAATTCTTAAAGTATTCTAAATTTTTTTATTTTCTAATTTTTTATAATTTTTCTCTAACATTCAATCTAACACTTTATTCTTTTTTTTTTTTTACATTATCCTCATTCCTCTTTTCCTTTTAGTTTTCACATTGTTATCCTCTTTCAATTTTCACACGCACCAAAAAAAACTTGTGCACCATAACGTTGTAGGTTTGTACGGCTTCTTCAAAAGTACCAAGCCAAATACACATTTTTTCTCCAAATACCTCCCCCCTTTTACACTTCAAAAAATACAACATTAAATTTAGTACTTTCTAGAACATCAATTTTAATGTTTTAAAAAATACACTTTTCAAATTTTTGTGTTTTGTAAACTCTTTCGAAAGTATGGAAAAAAAATTAAATTCAATGGAATAACTTTATACTATGTCATCCACTTTATACATTACTGACACACAGAACTCACAAAAAAATTCAACCAATTATTTGTTCCAACTGTGAATAAGTAATATTAAATAAATTATAAAAATATTATAAATAAAAAATGTAATTTACACACATTAATTTATACTTTGTATTGAATGTAGGGAACAATGAAGATTGAGTGAAAAATCAAGTTTAAAGAGCAATAGAGTTGAAAGTAAAAAATAAAATTTAAAAAATACAAAGATAAGGTATGATTGTTTTGATTGTCAAAGAGGAAAAACCAAGAATAAAAATCAAGAAAGAGTAACTAGAGAGATGAACTAGAAGAAGAATGACGGAAGGAAGGGGTGAATGAAAAACATATTTTTAAAAATAAAACTTTAAAATTAGGAAATTAATTAGAAAGGCATTTTAGAGATTTTTTTTAAAGAAAGGGATAAGTGTATTTTTTTAAAAATAAAAGGTATATATATCATGAACCTTAAATTTTCATGAGATAAATTTTTAAGAAATTTACATGTTTTCCTAAACAATACGCAGAGCCCTATGTATTCTACACCAAAGAGGTGAACAACGGTATCATGTTAGAAAGCCTATAAGAAGGGTGAGCATGAGTTAGATTGGACCTAATTTATCCTTCTCAAGTTCAACCTAATTTTTTGATTCAATCATTTTTTAAAACTCAAACCCGATCAGACCAAGATAAAAAATAAATGAAATAAGTTTGGTCAATCCAACTTTGATACATTATATTAATTTTAACAATGTAATAGTTAAATTGTTAATTTAAAAAGTGCAAAACTTAAATTAAGATATATGTTACAATATATATTTTAAAATAAATAATTTTATTATAAATATAATATCATATTATTAAAAATATTAACTAAATAAATTATTATTAATACACTAATTTAATGAAACTTATACATTTTTAAAAAATATTATATATTAAATTGGATTGATCGATCCAAACTCGTCCTAAACATATATCATGTTCAATTTCAAAGCTCAAATTCGTTCAAATGAACTTCGAACCAAATCAGATTAACGAGTCTAGTTGAACCATACTATAAGACAAGGGAAGGACCCAAAAAAGAAAAACGAAGCAAGTGAGACAGCAACAGCATAATTGTCCGATAAAGGGACCAAAGGGACAGAAAATAGATCTTCATGCATGGCAACTACGCTTCAAGGACCATACAAAGGGTGACTTGTTTCTTATGTTACATGTGCTGCAGCTTTTCTTTTGTACAGTGCGACATGGAAACATGGTTTCTAAGCAATGTTCCCCAACAGAAATGTGAAAGTTGAGGTGTGGAATCATTCCATGGATCTGTTGGTTTAAATGGTTTAATAAGATGATCATGCGTTGAAGGCTGTGTGACTGATATCAGAGTTGAACAACTATTGGAGAAGCTGATCAGTAATGTAATAGGGTAGATTCAAGTTGAGGTGTGGAATCATTCCATGGATCTGTTGGTTTAAATGGTTTAATAAGATGATCATGCGTTGAAGGCTCAGTGTGACTGATATCAGAGTTGAACAACTATTGGAGAATCTGATCAGTAATGTAATAGGGTAGATTCAAGTTGAGGTGTGGAATCATTCCATGGATCTGTTGGTTACATGGTTTAATAAGATGATCATGCGTTGAAGGCTCAGTGTGACTGATATCAGAGTTCCACGGATAAGATGGTTTTTGGTTTCTAGTGGAGGCTCTGTCAATGTTCATTCACGACACAACACAATTGATTACAACAGATCAGAAGAGCATTTCTTTCAATAGCCATAAGAAGATCCAACTGTTGAATCTTATCAGATGATAACCCAAATATATGAAATTAATCCACACTCTACGCTCCTTGCTTGAAAAGAAACAGGAATTTAGGCATAATTTGGTTAAACTAAACAAACTTATTCCACTTGCATTCATTTGACAATTTCCGTCAATAAAATTTTGCCAGGCTATCCAGCTGTGAAAACTCACGACTATCTTAGGAACGTGAAGCTGAATTTGAGTTCGGAGGGAAAATCCAAAAAAAGAAAGACAACTACTCCAGACAGACAACTGAAATTCATCAAGCAGACATCTTATATATACAACAATCCCTTCACAAACAAGTGAATTACGATAACTACCAGATAAACAAGAAAAATCACAGCCCCAGCAGGTTTTATGATTTCCGTTCATGTCATGTTCACCAAATTTCTTCACAATTTAATGCATGGTGCATATAATATACAAAAGAAGACATGCAAATAATAGGTAGAAACACCATTGAAATCGACATTTCGATTTACATAAAATCTTACTGCCCAGCTGAAGGAATTGTCAGCAACTCAAGTGATTTCTTCAAGAAGTCTACTGCAACAGAGACATCATCAAATGCCAGAGCCCCAACAGCAAATCTTGCAGCCTTGTGTGCCTCTGCTATTTTTTCAGGTGCTGGCTGGTAGTTACTGTCGTACTGGTATGTCTGAGTAGTTGCCTTAGGTTCCACGACAGTTCCATTTACATTTCCGCTGCTGTAACTGTGTTGAGCACTTGATGAATAGCTTGTAGTTGGCGGAGCCGATTGAGAAGAAAATGAAGTATCAGATCCTTGATAATAGGTATAGTTTGATGGGACTGATGGAAGGCTGGTTTCTGTAAAACTTGGATAAGACTGAAAATGGGGATAGGAAAACGAGGAAGTTTCATGAGAAGGGTAGTTATGACTTAAATGCTGTGGGGGCTCTTCTGAGTATTGTTGATGGTTGTAGGGTTGAGAATAAGGACTTTCTGATCTGGTGGCAGGTGGAGGAGGATAGTAATCTTGGGAAGATGGGGGAGTATGATAATCTTGGGAAGGTGGGGGAGGATGATAGTCTTGGGGAGGTGGAGGAGGATGCATGTTATTATCATGAAATTGCGTAGATGGTGAAATGTTTCCGGAATGTTGGTCGATAACAGTATCATGAAAATCAGACGCAGGGCGATTCTGGTAATTGACACGGTCATGATGACTAAGTGATGGATCAGATTCTGGTCTAGGACTGGAAACATTAGTTTCAATATTGCCCGAGTCCTGCAAGGACAAACCATTGTTTATATTTGTTAATTTATTAATCAATTTATTTATATGTTTTCTAACTGATTAAACTCAGAACACACCAGGTTAAGTTTTGAATCTGACAGGTCCTCATCGCCATCAGGGGGGCCAGCTATGGGCTTCCTTCCTTCTTTCAAGGCTTTTCTTATATCAGCTGCTTTCCATGCTGCATATTTTTGTTTCTGCTCCAGCTGTAAAAGAAACTCAACATATAGTTACAGGAAGTTGATTCTTGATGCAAATTGTTTCCAAATAAGAAAAGCTTGGTGGAAACCATGCAAATGCAACAAGACATGCATAAAAAAGGAGGGTTTAATGCATGAAATACACACATCAGGCGCAACAGGTCCAAATTGATTAAGAATCTCAAAAAAGATGCTGGCAGCATAAAATGTTTTTGCCGTATTCCTGCAAAAGGTCAAAGAATATATGTTAAAATCTTATCAACGATGAAAAATTTGAACACCCAAAATAGTTACGAAAACGCCACGCAAAGGGAATAGCAAACATTTGGCAAATGACAGATACTTGGTATGTAAAGAGAGTAAACTACTATCTTGTTCAAGAGAAAGGAACACGAAGATACACAAATACCTTGTAAACCTCATCACAAATTTGAAATTAAAGGAATCAAAACTGATGCAACAGAACCGACATATAATCTTAAAGGCTTATTTACTTCAATCATAGCATTTAAACAAACAAATAAAGTGATTTTATCATACAAATCTGCTCTTCCAGCACGATCTTGCTTGTCTGCCTTTGCAAACACATTCAAAGCAAATCCCTCGAGATACAAATTGTCTTCAGGCCCCAACTGGATTGACTTTTTATCCTGAAAAAACAACATATTCCGCATAAATCAACTCAGTACCTAAAAAATTCATAAACAAACTTAATCAAATATGTCAGCCACTAACATCTTACAAAAGAAAATCAAACAGCAGTTTCTCATTGAAACATGTCACAGTAACCATTGTCATTTAGATTCATTAACTTCCATTTAACACAAGTATATAAATTCCCTTCATCTTTTCAGACACAACACAACGTTAGGGATCCACGAGATTAACTAAAACATCACACATATTTATTTATAGCAATTACAATCAAGACAGAACACGGTTTCATTAGAACCTTCTCAAGCTGCTTCATGAGCGAAATAAGAAGAGCATTAGTGGTCTTTGTGCGCTCATTTTGCGGAATCTTCAACCCCCGTTCCATCGCATATAACCGACCTAATTTTACCAAAAACAATTAATCATAATGATTTATAACAAAGATCAGAGTATTTAAGATCGGCGAAACGATAAAAATTGCTACAGTGGAAATTTAAGAAGACGCTGTGCAATAATGAAAAATAAGTATCGATCTAAAATGAAAAAAAAAAAAAGGAAAAACGAGATAATTACAGTAATAAGCGACGAGTGGTTCGTGTTTTTGCAATTCATCGGCACGTTGAAGGTATGGTAGCAGCAGCTTCGCGGGTTCGTTCTCGCTCGCCATCTCAATTCTCACAGAGACTCAAAACACACAAGGTATTGAAACCGCACGACGTCGTTTGTTACCTTTATTCCAATGCATTCGAATTCGACCGTCTTGCCCTGCCAAACAACCTTTTAAAAAAAGAAGAAAAAAAAACAAACTCAAACTCAACAAGCTTATCAGTTAAGAAAAATATTTAATAAACTATCAATTAATATATTATTTAAAAAATAATAAATCAACAATTTCGTTACTAAAGAATTTCTCTCTGCTGAATAGTCTTAAAGTAGCACATATTATATAAATATTTTCTTAAATATTATAAATTATACTAAATAACCTCTTAAATATCAAGAAATTCTTCAAATTAATCCTTGAACATCAGAAAAATATATTGACATTCGTGTTAGAAGTTTAATGTTAAATGTTTTAGAGGTTTTAAAATATTAGAAGAGCGAGTTTAAATACCAGGCTTTTTGATGGGGTTATTTTATGGTATTTGTCTGAGAGGATATTTTATGAGTTATTTTTATAAGATTATTACACAAACATGATATTGTTCGCTTTGGGCCTTAGCCCTCACGGTTTTGCTTTTAGCGGAATCTGTCTTTATATGACACATTATATTTTATGAGTTATGAGGAGATATAGGGTTATTGGTTGTCACCGAATCCAACCTGCGGCTCTGATACCACTGATGGGGTTATTTTATGGTATTTGTATGAGAGGATATTTTATGAGTTATTTTTATAAGGTTATTACACAAACATACTTCACAATGATGAGATATTGTCCGCTTTGGGCCTTAGCCATCACGGTTTTGCTTTTGGTTCTCAATCATTGAAGTATGTTTGTATTATATAAGTTGTTATTTGTTATGTTATTTTATTGATGTGAGACTTGTTTGTATCCCAACAGCTTTCGATAGGTTGATGATACTGTGTTAATTAGAAAGATAAATCATGAAAATTTATGATTTTAATATAAAATTCAGAGGTGCTATGGATTAATTTTTAACTTGATATATTTTTTTTTCCAAGAGTAGTGTAATAGGAGTAAATATGTATAACCCTAAAACATAAAGAGTAAATATATAAAGATAAAGTTTTAATAATAGCACTTCACTTTCTTAATTATATAAATATATTCCTTTAAAATAATTGGGATTTTCTATACGAGGGAATTTAAAGAAATTAATTATAAGAACTAAAAAAAGAAATTAGTTATAAATCTTATTATTAAAAGGGTTTAAAGTAAGTTATCATTAAGTTCTTATCATTTAAGCAAAGAAAATTATAATTAGTTATTTGTTAAAAAAATTATTCACTTTACCTTTAACTTATTTTAGAAAAGGAAAATTCTTTTTAATCTCTTGAAAATGTCTTAGTGCATGTTTAGATTCTCATTTATGATTGCATTTTAATTATTTATATTAAAAATTAATATATATATA